CGCGTAAATGCCTGCCTTCACAGCCCATTTCATCCCCTTCAGCTTCTTGTGAGGCGGCATTCCGGACCTCAGCGGATGGCGATGATGAAGCAAGGAAATTCATGCTGCTTGGCCATGGATTGTGGGAAGCGGAGAGGCTGGCACAGATTATGTCAGATCTGATATTTCGACAACTCCCAGGTATGAAAAAAAGTAGAACACTCGATCCACCATAAGCTGCTTGCTGGTAGGGTGATCATTTTTCTTTTGCTGCGTGTCCCAGAGCTGTATAGCTCTAGTTGACTGCATCGAGTCAAATCCCCCTTGTCACATGAGGTAATCCCCATGCAACTTCAAATAGTATGGTTCAAGGTCCACTCAAAACGGCCGGCGGGTGGTTCCCCATGATGAGAAGCAACAAAGAAACATTACAGTCTAACTCATGCATGGTTGATCACTCAAGAGCATCACTGTTGATAGTGAACAACCTCACCCAGAGAGACCATCTACCGCACGGCCGGCATTGAACTTCACTTTGGCCATCACTAACTTGAAGTCCCCGTTTTGTTCATCATCGGTCACGTCAATCTCTGGCTGTCCTTCCAGCCAGATGGCCTAGGCAAGTCGATCATCATGTCCCCAACATGTTGTTCTAGCATGGTTGCTGAAATCAAGTTCATGCATTAAACGTATTATCCATGGCTATTCGTGCAAGATGTACGAAGTTGAGAAATGCAAACCAGGGCACAAAAAGCAACCCAGCATTGTAAGAACACATCATGCGCTTGTTGTACTGCTCAGAGGGATCAGGGCCTTTGGCACGAAGGGGAAAGTAAGCAACCTGGGGCGAACCAACTAACTTCGTCCACTTGACCCCAACAGCCACCCGCGTCCAGTAGGGCATGACACTGACGTTCTTCAAGTTGTGCTCCGGCAAGTCGGCGTAGATGTATTCCTTGAGGGCATCGAACTCCAAGCTTTCCACTTTGTCAAGGTCGTTCAGGATCATATCTCTCATCCCGTCATCCTCCAACTCTGCGTCTGCCAAGCTTGGCCCCCTGCGAGCTCGTCCCTTTGCAGCGGCCCTCTTTGCTGCTGCCTTTTTCGCCGCCGCTTTTGGTTTTCTCTTTGCTGCTGCCGCCTTGGCGGCCCGCTTTGGCGCTGCCTTTGGCGCTTTTTCTGCCTTAGCCTTTGCCTTCGCTTCTGCCAACACGCTGGCCTTGGTCTTGGCCCTCTTGGCCGGGGGTTCCTCCTCCTCAACCTCATCCTCCTCACGTCCCTCCTCCTCCTCCTCATCCACAAGTCCAAGGTCCTCCTCCACAGGATCCTCAGGATCTTCAAAGAGTTTGCGCTTTGGTGAAGCAATGTCATCGACACGGCTCTCTTTGCTAGATTCCGCCACTGAGCGGCCGATTTCCCTTCGGGCACCCTCCATCTCCAATTCCACATCATCTTCTTCCTCATCATCGTCACACCTTTCATAAGCCAAGGTCGCTGGATCTTGGCTTTTTGAACACCGAGCCTGTCCCTTCATGGCAGAGCGGACTTTCATCCTAATCTTTGGCGATGCTTTGGGAGCAGCCTTCCTGCTTCCAGCTTTGGCCTTAGCAGCCGAGCTTTTGGCCTTTGCCTTGGCCTTTGCCTTGGCCACAGGCAGGTCAGCACCTTCTTCCTTGACCTCTTCCTCTTCTGGGGTGGCCTTGGCCTTGGACTTGGCCTTTCCCTTGGCTCTGCCCTTGGCCGCTGGAGCGCTAGGTGCAGCAGCTTCTGCAGCACTTGCTCCATCGGCAAGAGCTTCAGCAGCATCCTCCTTAGAGGATTTGTCCTGCGCCTTGCTCTTCCCTTTTGCTTTGGCCTTAGCCTTGCCTTTAGCCTCCCGGAGCTTGTCCTTGTCCTTCTTAAGGTTCTCCAAAGCCTCCTTCAATCTGAGTTGGTGCCTCCTGGTGAGTACCTCCAACAAAGCCATCGAGCAAAGAAAACACACAAATCAGTGGAAACAACATTCATGAAACTTGCGCGAATGGCCATGGTGTATACACGATCGCAAGCAATAGAGAGAGAGAGAGAGAGAGAGAAGGAGACGGTCACGAGAGAGGGCGAGCTGGCCCAGAAAAGAGAAAGATTGATCGAGAGATGGAATAAGGTCGGATGATGGAGAGAGGAAAAGGATTGTTTTCAGCATAGTTTTTCCTCATGTTCTTTCACAAAGATTCTCCAACATGCCATGACTCTGCTATCAATTGAGGAAACCCAAGCAGTTTAGTTTTCATATAATTATTCAATTTACATTTATTCTTTCACACGTGACTGGCCTCTTTGTCGTCTGCACCCTCCGCTGGCTTCTCAGGAAGTTCAATCTCCTGCGAACCTTGGACCTGCGTGAGGTTGAAGAACTTCTCGGACTCTGAGATTGCAAGAGGCATCTCGAACAATTCCTGAACCTGCGTCTCCACCCAATCCGCTCCATAGGCAAGATGTTTACCTGACAGGTCATAGGTCGCATGAAGTCCCAACTACCCTGGAAAGTATGAATCATCAATTTTCATTGTTGCAAGCACATGAGTATATACAATAGTTGTTTCCTACCTGGATCAGTTTTCTCCTGCTTGACCTCCACCTCTTTCTTCTCGGGCTGGGCAGCTGCTGCCCTGGACCTTATGATCAATGTGGTTTTGTCACCACGAAGTGCAATGTACAGTAACATAACTTGTGTATGGTTCATGGAACGTAGCGCCAACCCCTTTTGGTCAAGATACGCAATTTCCGCTTTCTTGGCGGCAATCTTCGCAAGTAAGGCTTGGATAGCATCACACTTGCCTAGGTTCGAGGTCACGGCCCTTCACCCTGAGAAGCAGTCCCAAGCCTACACCCCCAGAACAAATAAATCATACATATTCAGAATCACTAATAAGGTGCACGATGTGGTTTTGCCACACTTTGGACATGCTTTCGAAGGTGGATTGGGCTGAACGTCACTGGGTGCTGTGACTTGTGCTGGGGCTTCTCCAGAAGGTGGTAAAGGCTCTTGAGGGACAAGAGCTGAGTCTTCAGCGGGCACAGCTGGCAATGGTTCAGCCCCAACATCATTCAACCATCTCTCAAAATCATTGAAGTCTTGCTGTGTCTCAGGATCTTCCTCCGCCCAGTCCTTCTCCTCTTCGAAGGACGGCATGTGCGCCAAGGGGGTTCTGGTCTCCATGTAGGTCCGAATGAAGTCCTTCCATGTTGACCCCTGGTTGTTTTGTTTGATTTTTCTTTGAACAAAAGCATTCAACCATTGAAGGATACATGACAGATGTGGCATATGGCCTATTCATGCATAGGCGCTCCTCCAACTCTGGCTGCAGTGTCAAGAGTAAAGGATGGAAACCAGTGTCCTGAATAGGGGCAGCAAAGTTCCAAGCTGTTTGTTTTGCACGCATTCCTATCTACACAGTACGTACTCACATGTATAAACTTTCAACTTGTAACCCAAAGAAAGGTTCCAACTGTTTCAACCCAGGCCTTCGTAACCTCCTTGTGGTTGACTCGCCTCTTGATGAACCCGCAGAGCTTCTTGAGCTCAACCGATGTTTGGTAGATAACCTTCGAGTTGACTTTCACATTCATGCCAGTAAAGAGCTTTTGTAGCTCCTGCTGAACTGGTTCCAAATGGAAAAGGTGGAAGGTTGGAGTGGTACAGAGTCTCGTCAACAGCGGCACGAGAACACACCTGTTCATCTTGGCATTCCCACGGCAAGGAATACACCATGTTTGACTTGAAGGGTGCTGAAGCAAGCGACCCGTTGCTGCCCGAGCCCTCACATCTGGGTCATTCGCCCATTCATCAGCAAGCCCTTCTACGTCCATAGCATTAGACTCACATTCCCGGTTTCGGGGCATCTCCCACAAGATCGTGTGCCGTATAGCACAATGCTAGGAACCAAAAAGCACTCCGGGAATCAAACACAACCTCCAATTTGCTTTGCTTGACTTTTGCTGCAGGACCATGCATTGGAAGTGGTCTAGCGAACACGCTGCCACGCGATTGCTTGGCTGAAAAAAATTGAGGGCCTGGCTGATCCAGGGCACCAGGTCAAAGTGCACGATCGCTTCCATATGAGCGGGCGGGCCATCATTGTTCTCACATACCGGAGGTTACGGAAATGATCTGGTGATTTGCATGAACCATGTAACATCCAGGATCTTGGACATGAAGTGGGCAAGTTGATAATGGAATGATGAGTCATCTTGCCAAAGATACTTGTCCAACAGTTGCATGGTCATGCTTGGTCCACACTTTGGAGGACCCCGGACCAGGAAGAGGCACCTGGAAACCCGATTGACAAGGTGTTTTTGCAATTACCAGGTATTTTGATGCCTGGTGTGTTTACCAGGTTTTTCCGGGTGCACGTGGGAAATACCAGGTTATCATTTCTCTACCTAAAAAAAAGTAGGTAGACGAAGCAGTAGGTAGTACTAACATGTTTATACCAGGACCCTCCAAGGGGTGCCCAATAGAAACCCATAGGTAGTGTGGGGTAGTCGATTGGACACACCTTGGAGGGTCCAGGTACATTTTTTGTATTTATACCCACATACTCCAAACAACAACCCTTGGACCGTTGGGGACCCTATGGCCAGTATCGATTTGACCCCAGACCCTTCATGTCCATGGTCCATACCCTGGCCCCAAAAAATACAATGAAATTTAACACATTTACATCATCTGTGCAGCAACAGGCAACCACACAAATTTTACACTGGCGCTTGGTGGCGCTGTACTTGGCGGCTGTCTATGTGTGAGACCTTCATCTGAAAAATTGTTTTTGGACAGGCGAAACACATCACTCCTACGAAATGATGAGTGCTCACAAAACGTATTGCCCCCCAAAGAAATGTGACACACAACTTGAACATGTGTAACTTGGGCCCATAATTTGTCAAAATTTGCCCACGAAACGGTCGTTGTCCGAAACTTCCCGAATCCTTCGTCCAAGGTTGGTCGACGGGTTTCGGCGGCACCGTTCGACCGTTCCAACCTGTGCTGCGGGAGGTCCCCATGCGGCCAACAGCAATGCGCACAGGTGTTGGAGGTGTCTCGGTGGTCGAGGCATCGGTTCCTGCACGCAGAGACTCTGCCGGCGGTCCGGCCGAGGCGTCCAACGAAGTGAAGGCTGTTTTTGGAGACGGCCAAAGCAGCGGTCGGACTCTTCAGGTGAATACCAAAACTTTAAATGTGTAGATCCTCGATCAATCAATCCATCACCCATATTTAAGAGGTTGTACAGTCCATTGCAATCCGAATGTGGAGTATATTTGTTGTTAATATGCATGGTGACCCTTCCAAGCCCATTCGCTCTGAAAGACTTGGGGTGTCGGCAATCTGCAGTTCCATGCTACACGACCAGCACCGAAGCAGATTGCGGTTCGTGGCCCTCACTATCTGCATTCCGATAGAGGAGACCAAACCTAACTGAGAGGTGCTGGTCACACGACGAGGGATGACCTTCGCAAACGCACACACACACATTGTAGATTGGCAAGCAAGCTAACAACAACAACGACGACGACGACGACAACAACAACAAGGTACCAAGGAACTGCAGCCCCAACAAGTACTTTTATGCCAGTAGTGGTAGTGCTTGTACTAGTGCTAGTATAGTGGTACTAGTACTAGTCGTCTGTCATCGTCGTCGTAGCCGTAGCCGTCGTCGTCGTCGTCCTCGTCGTCATCGTGGAAGTACTGGTTAGCACTGGTTGTAGTAGTAGTAGTAGTAGTTGTTGTTGTTGTTGTCGTGGTGGTAGTGGTAGTGGTAGTGGTAGTGGTAGTGGTAGTGGTAGTATTACTGTGGTAGTAGTCGTCGTCGTCGTAGTAGTGGTAGTAGTAGTAGTAGCAGTAGCCGGTCAGCTTTAATCCTCTGTAAAGCTTCTACTTAGAACCTCAGCCACATCCTAGATAAAACAGCAACAGCAACAGCAACAGCAACCACCAACAGCAACAACCAACAACCAACAACCAACAACCGCAACCGGTAACCACAACCACGACCACGACAACAACCACAACAACCACCACCACAACAACACCAGCAGCATCATCAGCAGCAAGCAGCAAGCAAACTGGAAACATGGCTATGAATGAAGCATAATTGAATAGGCAAGGGACAAGGGGGTTTCCGTCGCAATTCACACGCGTCCCAAGGGACAAACACAGAAAGCATGGTTTCCATCGATATCTTCGAAGAACGGAGGCTTCCTGTAAGTTCTCATGGTATCTCAAATAGGATTCCTAATTAAAGACATAAATGCTCCCAATGCATCCTAACCTTACCTTGACACTCCATGGCATATGTACCTAATTATATGTTATACATTGAGGCAGTTTCAGGGGTCAATGATTGAATGTATAGTATGTATACTGTATAACTTGTTCAATCACCAAGTGTGTGGGCTATACATCTTCTTCGAGGGCCATTGCCAGCTGAGGACGTAGTGCCCTCGTCTCAAAGTGCCCGACCTGTAAATATCATGCAACACCCGCAGCCTGCAAAACCTATCATACAAGAACGCACAAGGAAAATATGGATGTCAGTCATTAGACAAACGTATAGAAAAAACGTCTCTGATTCACAGTGCACAAGTTGCAGCAAACACTCACAAAACGTCACTGACGTTGTAGAGATCCCAGATGTAGATTGGCTATTAAGTAATAAATATCTAAATCATGATCACCAACCGGATGACTCCCCCTGTCCATCTCATCCGCTCTCGTCCTCTCTTGTCCACTTTGGCACCAAATCCGTCGTCCATCTCAGATGCCTCACCTGTCGAAACTGTTGGGACTTCGAGTGGGACACCGATAGCAGAAACCTGCGTCGATGCCTCTGCCCGTGATTTGATGGGATGGCACCCAAGTGCGATCCGAGAATCATGGGCAGCGGAGGGAACCAACCTCTGCTGAAGCTATTGGCATCTGGAATCAAGCCTCTATATTCGGGGCATCATGTTGATTCACCTTCTATCCGATTCTATCCCTTCAAACTTCTATTCTTCTACTCGACCCCCAAACGAAGCGTCCCCCGCCGCGCCTGGACGAACCACGTCGGCACCGCACGGCCGAACGGCGGGTCCCGGTCCGAGCCGCTCGGCTTCGGTGGTGGAACGTCGCTCCGCTTGAGCCGGAAGAACCGAAAGCGGTGCGGGTTCTACCGGCGAACGGCGGGTTTCGGGTGATGAGTATCGGAGAGACGATGGCCGGAAAGCTCCAAAAGGCAGCTGCTCTTTGGACAGTGTGACATGTCTCTCTGGAGGGCCACCGCTAATAGCTTGGAGGCCGTTGATACCAGGTTGGAGGCATTGTTATGAGGTTGGCAGCACTGCAGCACTTCTCAACATCGGAAGAAAGCTGCTCACCCTCCGCGTCGGTCGTTTCGACCGACCCTCCCCCGCTCCACGCCCGCTCCACGCCCGCTCGCTCGACCCGGTGCGGGGTCCGGGTTCCCCGGCACGCCCGGCGCCGCGGTCACGCCCGAGGGGACGGACCTGTGGCGAGAAGGATGCAGTCGTTCCAAACGTTCGAACGATGCAGATGTTCTGTTGAGAGATATATATATACAACATATTCAGATATAGATATTCAAAGAATCTTGTTCTAGGATCATGTCACTAGTATTCGGCGTATTATAGTATGATTATTAGTTACGAGTACGTGTTTAATGTGTGACTTCAGATGGACTCTCACTTCAGAGCCACCGGTCCAACCCCAAAAAGGAGCGCAGCGGCACCTCGGACTCTCAGCCCTGGTCCGGTCAGATCAAGGAAAAGCCACTCCGGTATGACCTCCTTAAGTACTGTTCTTACGCATTTTCCAGTGAAATGAGCTCCTTGACCTGGAAAAAGGAACTTAAGTACCCATCTTGTACCCATTTTCCAGTGTACGTATACTTGTTTTCCACTGTCCAGGCATTCCGGCCAAACGGATCCCCAAAACCATGCAAAGCCGTCGCGAAACGCCACGTCTTTTTTCTGGGACACAGAAGGAAAAAGGGGATCGAATGACGGAGCGCAGGGAGGTGTTTGTATTTTTCTTTGGGACACAAATTCATTGATGTCACTGAGCATTGAACAATCTTGAGATGTTCAGCGACCTCCTGGGGTTGGGGTTGGTGTTCGCAAGAAAACGATGTACATGTTTTGGTATAGAGATTGTTAATGGAATTAAGTGTGTTTCAATGTTGATGTCATTGGGCAGATCAACGGATGCTCATGACAACCGGTGGCAAGAGGAGGATGTTGAGGTTCCAAAATGCAGCACCCCTGACTCAGGCTTGCATCAGCGATCCCGGTACCTCCAAATACCATGGTAAATTTGCAAATGATTGAAATCGCGTGTTGGTGACATGATGTCGCGTGTTTTCAAATAAATCCCATTTGCAAATCATCATGTCACCATCACCATTGCAGTTCCATTTGCAAATGTTTCAATCCATCTCCAGTTCTGTCCTTCAAAGGATGTCAGGCAAACTTCAGAGATGCTCCAAGCTCCGCCTGAGGAAGTTCTCCATCCATTGCGGCTCGGGCAGGGTCACCAGCAAACCTCCCAATCAAGTCAGGCTGCAAAACGTCACTTCCAATAGCCAATAGCCACTATAGCCTCTAGAATCTGTCCTGACCTGTGAGAAGTGAATGCTTCTGAACATGGCCTTGCTATCATGTGCTATCAAGCTCTTCCTCTCCAATCACTTGGAACCTGCGAACTCCCGATCTCACCCGCGCGGACGGTTTCCGCCCGAAACTGGGGCACGGCGAGTCGAGGCGAACCTCCCCGTATCGCGTCCGCCCGGGCGCGGAGGGCGTTGTCGGCCTCGGACGAAGGTGTCGGGATCCACCACGTTGGGGTTCAGATCGGCGTCGATCTGAAGCCCTGAGGCATCCTGCGCGCAGTGGCGGAGCCGGTCCAGGGAGGTCCTACTCTGGACTGGTTGGTGGCCAGAACTCTTGTTTGGGTTCCTGACGCTGGAATCAGCTGAGACCACCCAACCACTAGTACTGGATTCCAACCGCACCAAGCGCATTCGCGAATCCAACACGTCGACACTTCGACCTCGCGTGAAGGGCGGCTCAAAAGGTCTGGAAATGTCTGGAAATAGCCGGTCCAATCGGACCGAGTAACACCTGCTCCGGTACGACCAGGATCAGAGCATTTTCCCCCAGCAATGAGGTCACTGGAAACACCTGGCGCATCCGGGCGCTCTGAGCGTCGCCGCCACGTGGCAAACGAGACGCCACACGCAACACGCCTCGAGAACCTCTAAACCCCCCATCCGCAGCGCTTCTGTCACAGCCTTGGTTCGGTGTTTTGGTCGGACACGTGTTGTTTCTGGAGATGGACATGGAATGACCACACGACACAAATGAATATGAATGACTGACCATGCAAACATTGTTTTCCATATCAAATGGCTTTCCAAGTGCGGAGCACGGCCCCTATGTCTATTTTGAGGTGGCAATTGTCTTCTCTCGTAACTCTATATTGGTCATTCCCTGATTCCCCACAGGCCACACGAGTCACTCAAACTTGGTATCTTTCTCAAACCCAACGAATTCGGTGTCACGAGTCACGCTGTCATTGATCTCCGGGCTCAGCTCTGGACAGGAAAGTCGAAGGGCAAAAGCCGCTTCGCCGCATCGTCGATGGGGATCACCTGAGGCCGATGGGTAGTGTCCGGAGCAGCATGCTTGGAATGAACATCAGTCTGGAGTTGATCAAACATGTTGCAGCCTGCCCATCTTGGTCTAATGATCAATTCTCATGAAAGAGGATGATGACGGTTGTACCAAATCGGTCAGCTACTGCCCAGTTCTGCCCCGAATTACTGCGAATGAACACCAAAGAACTATGGGGCCATGACACACTACCAAATACACCCGAATGTCAACGTATAGGTTCTTCTACGTTCTTGCCTGGCTTTAGAGCGCCAAGGTAAGAGCCCTACTCAGCCACACCGCAACCCGTCACATGAAGAGTCCCGACCGAATACTCGGTGGAGTAATATGCACTTCACTGCCATCAGCCTTCTGAGGGCCCTATGTATGGATCAGCCATGATCCATGATCTGCCTCAGTGCTTTCTGTCAACGTATGCAAGCAGTGGAACTAGTGGGACAAGGCGGCCACGGCACCTGCAGATCGGCCTCCATGAAGGGCTGCGGCGCGGCTTTCGGAGCCGCCTGCACAGGCGGTTCGGGGCCCTCAAAATCGCGGAAGTTGGGAGTTGGTGGTGAAGACCTGAAACATGTGAGTCATCTGGATGAATCTCGCCATGTCAAGTTGAAAAGAACAAACAATTGAAACCGCCAATCAGGAAAGGTGACCCTGACTCGTCATGTCACCCTCCCATGACAGTGGTTCATATATATAATATGAGAGTGATTATCCCACCAACCGCTATTGAACATACTGGCGGTGTTAGGGCTCATTTGTTGCAGAATGCATTGATCACATCTGAAGCCGGTGTTCCATCCAAGGACAGCTGCAAACGTCCCCAGTTCCATGGAGGGGAGCTGCAACATGCAGTTAAACATCCCCAGCCACCGTTTCACCACCCTTTGTTAAGGTCAAGCTCGGCGGTCTCAAGAGGTCAAGATCAAATCACTGATCAAATCCGTAAGCCTCGAAGGTGCAACCTGAACATCGTTGAACATCAAACCACCTCTTGTACTATCATCCCAACATGTTTGCAAATGAGACCACCTACTTCAGGGACTGTTTCTGGTTGTGGGGCGTCGGATAGTTTGGATCCACTTTCAAAATTTTGGTGTGAACTACAGTCCTCATCGACGAGTCTCATGACCTGCTCTATCCTGCTCGATCCTGCTGCGAGTTCGGCAGGTTCGTGATAACTTGCTGAAAGAAAAACAAGGAGATCACATCCAGCACCACCGAAAGGGTGGTTTATAGACCCCCCTGAAGAAGTATTTTCCATCTAATAACCACCCTTTGGGTGGTGCTGGATGAGACTACTATACCCAACTCCGACTGTCAGTGAACTGCCGACGGTGAGGCGTCCAGTACCTTCGGCGGATGGAGCAAGCGATTCAGCTCGGCTTCCGCTGCAGGAGTGCTCTTGCCTCCCATGGGATGCCGAGACCGGAAGTGAAATCGAAGTGCAGCTTCAGAATCTATACTAAATTGAACTAGCATATATAGACCAATAGTAATAGAGGAAAACTGCATGCTGATGCAATTGGGTTTAACAAGTGTCTTCTTACATGGAAAAATGCGTTCGTTTGGTCTACGGAACCCCTGATGAGCTACAAGGTTCTGCATAGTCTGACCTCACGGTATAGGCCGGGAAATCGTGCATACCCAGCGGTTTCGATGTACTGACTTCACGAGGATTCATAGGCACTCAGTCCAAACAATTGATACATGACCAACGATCACCATATCTGCATCTATGTTCTTCAGATTCGTTCTCCGTTAGTTATTTACCAAACACCTATTCCTCAGATTCAGTGCCATCTACAGCGATCTCCCAGTCTCCCATTCAATGTGTTGTTTCTTTAATGATCCTCTGTCAAAAATAAGTAACACTCAAACCTCCACCATCCTCCTCCGTCCACCATCACAAATTCTCTCCCAACACCCCCCAAAACTCCTCTAGGATTGAAAACCCCACTGATCTCACTCGCCCCTTCCTGCGATCTGTAAAATGCGCTCCCTCAAAGGGCCCATCTTCAGGCGCTTGGGCCCGCCATCGCGCGGCCGCAAGGCGCTCCGGCTCTCCGTGGCCAGATCGAAGCCTCGGAGTGCGTGATGGAACGGCCCCGAAGCGGCCTAACACTTAGTGGGGGGGGAGAGAGTCACAGGTGGGGTGCTGGGGTGTTGAGATGTCTTCGAATGTCGCACTGTGCAAGAGATGGTCGCACTGTGCGTGGCCCCGAACACTCACAGTTTTGGTGGGTGGCCGACCCTTGGCAAGCAATCCGATGAGAACATCCTTCATCTGTCAGTTCATCTGTAAGTGCACCTTGCACGAAGGTGGGTGCTTCCACCACCATGGGGCATTGCTTGAACACCTTTCTTGCAACACTTGATAACACTTGTAAACAAATCGTATCCAGCTTGTGTGCCATGTGACTTGTTGTTCCGCAATCTTGATTGCATTATGCATTGCATTGCGCACCCGGCACCCGTGATTCATATTTGAATGCCTGTTTCACCTTCCACGCAACGCAACATGAGATTTGTGTTCGCTCTCAATGCCCGAAGGGTGCACGCCCCTGTGATGCGAAGATGGTTTGTTTCCATAGCACCCTCACACACTCGAGGTATTAAATCCGTTGAATTTGATTACTCCAAGCCCTGAAGAAGCTTCCGGGAAAAAGAACACCCAAGTAAAAACCAGCTAGTATGCAAGCTGCAAGCCGGTTGAACCATCTTTGAGCTCAAGGTCTTGAAGCTTCAAAGTTTCAAGCTCCAAAAGGAATGCACTGCAGTGAGCGAACCGACAAGTGCATGTCTGCAAACCTATTGCACCTAACCAGCCTCGTCACTAGGAGTGAATGTAACTATATACAAACATCACAAACAAACGGGAAATCAGTGACTCATCACTGCTTCCTCGGACTGCCACGGTTACGAGTTGGGCAGCTGTCCCTGCTTGTTAACAGTATGTTCACAAAAGCCAAAAGGCTCGCTCTGACTCCAAAGGTGACACACACTCTGACATTGGTTTTCAGTGACTCTGTTACCACGTTGAGAAGGAAGGCGATGGAACGGCATGGTGAAAGGTCCAAAGACTTGAAGGTGTTTTAACATTGAAGTTTCTCATCTGCAGCGGTGCGACGACGACGCGCGCGGGCGGCGAGGGAAAGGGTTTAGGGGAAGTAGCATGAACCACCATGGAAATAAACAAAGAAAGAGTGGAGTGACAGCTTGTACAACAGTTCGGCAGGTACGTTTGCAGCCCCCCCCAGTGGCCTCTTCGTTGGCCATCCGCCACTGGGGAGGGGGATGGCCCCCTGCCGGAGTTGGTTGAGAACCCTTTGTCCAGGGGTGGACACACACAAATCGCCGGCTTCGGCGCTTTTTCAAAGAACGGTGGCACAGACACGGTGCCGCTTGGCGGCGCGTGCGTGGAAAGCCTGAATAGATACCTAAAAAGCCTTAGAAACAAAAGGAAAGAAACACAGAAAGAGCAGCGCTAAGAGGGCAAGAGAGAAAGATAGGCGTAGAAAAAATGAAAAATGAATACTTAGCCCTTGACTGGGGTAGGGAAACGAGCCTCAAGAACAACCTAAAAAGCCTGAGAGAAAGCCCAACAAACGACAAAAAACGCAAGAAGGAAAGCGGGGGGCAGGGAGGGGGTGTATGTCCATGTGTGTGTACGTGTGTGTGTTTGACTACCTAGCACTCTAGAATTACTGAATACTTAGACGAAGTGAATTAGGTGCACTAGTTAGGGAGCGGGACTTTAGTCTTAGACCGCCCGGGTAGGAAAGACTAGAACAGGAACAACACAGGGAAAGGCACCGACACACAAGTGTGTCGAGTACCATTTCCCTATGTTGCCCTAAATAGGTAGGGAGTAGAACACAGCGGGGGGGGTTTGGGGAACCTGCCTCATGGGGGGTGAGCACCGTTTTATAGCCCGGCGGCTGTCGAAGTAATGCCGTTTTTGGGCCCGGCTGCCAATGCATCAGTTGATTCTATGGGGGTGGCCGTGACTTCCGGTGAAGGTCCAGTGAAAAGTGGTACGTTGGGGTTGTTGAATTCCGATGCAAAAAACAGCGCCCCTGTGACGGGGATCACACTCAGCACCCGAGTGGGACGGCTGAGCGAAACACACTCTGACATTGGTTTTCAGTGACTCTGTTACCACGTTGAGAAGGAAGGCGATGGAACGGCAAAGACTTGAAGGTGTTTTAACAGTGAAGTTTCTCATCTGCAGCGGTGCGACGACGACGCGCACGGGCGGCGAGGGAAAGGGTTTAGGGGAAGTAGCATGAACCACCATGGAAACAAACAAAGAAAGAGTGGAGTGACAGCTTGTACAACAGTTCGGCAGGTACGTTTGCAGCCCCCCCCAGTGGCCTCTTCGTTGGCCATCCGCCACTGGGGAGGGGGATGGCCCCCTGCCGGAGTTGGTTGAGAACCCTTTGTCCAGGGGTGGACACACACACACACACGATGTCCAAGAATTTAATCCAATTTTCTGCCATACACTCACGTTTCTCACAATCAAAAATTGCTTCAAAAACACATTATAAATAAAACAACTCTGACTTCACACGAACTCCGCACCATGCAAGTCTAGGCCGCCCGACTGAACTTGGCCCAGCCCAGTACGCACTCCGCGCTGGGCGTCGGCCCCGCACTCGTCGCGGCACTGTCGAAGAGGGGCCGCGGGTAGCGTCCGCCCGTCAGGGCCCAAGAGGATGCCTCGGTGGGTCCGAGAACCAAGGTGTTCGGCTGAAAGTGGGGGTCCAAAAATGGAGAGCACCACTTGCGTTTGTAAAATATGACATATGATGACATCCGTTAAAATCCAAAGAGTCCTTGGCTCCTACAAGTGTATTGTGACAATGGTACATCTGTGTAAATCAAACGGTTGAGTCCAATGATGATCTCCGCCTTGTGTCTTAAGTGTTAAGTCTTGGTTTGATGTCTGATGGGCGAGAATCAATGCCCCGTGAAGTATGTGGTGTCGACTCTGATCAGGTGTCTTTAGTGGGAAAAAACACAGAAGCTCAAGGCTCAAGTGGATAGGGATCCTATATGATATATATTGTATATTATGCAATAGATCTTGCAAGTTTGAACACACTATTCTTACCAATATGCTTTAGTTCATTGGGCACGAGTCTACTTCGTTGCAGGCAGCAAATGCCATGAAATTGCAACTGGTATGTATTCATGAACCTTTTTTCATCTTTTTTCCACCTGTCGCCTTGTGCTCCAACATGCGGCATGTCCAATGATGCATGATGGAATCTCCACTCGACCATCAAGGGCGTCCAGTTGGCAACCAATGCACAGTACACTAACCTTAACCTGAACCTGAACCCAAGCTGTCATCATATCTTCTTCAGCACGGGAAGACTCCATCAACTTCAGCCCAAGCTGCTGCGCGGCCGCCCGGTGGTGGTCCTTTGGGCTGCAAAACCCTTTGAACCTCCAGCGGCTCGGCCGCGCCAGCGGACCCCGGCTGCGCCTTGGGTTTCGGTTTGGGCTTCGGCTTCGGCACAGCCTTGGCCTTGGGCAAAGCGAGCTTCCAGATCCTGCGAGCTTCGGACATGGAGTGGTTGGAGTTTGGGAAAGTGGGATTCTGCACAACTCCTCTTTGCTTCAAGTGACGTGCCTTTGCTTCTACACAGTTCTTCACCCGTTCTGTGATATTACAGGACCCCTGTCCTGTTCACTGCTGGCTGTGAGGCGGTGGCTTGTCTGGGTGGCTCCTGGGCGAAGGAATTGAACATAATTAGACGGCTAGGTACAGCTATAGTTACATGTCCTGCATGTCATTTTGTTTATGATGATTCTTGTTCTCCGAACACAACAACAAAAGTTGGAGGTCGGCCGAACCACCCTTCGGATCCTTCGGTTAGTCACACTTTGGTGTGCGTTCTTCATGCCGTGCACTCCTTTATGCTCAATTGCTGTTTGGGCAGAGCAAAACCTCAATGATGGTCGAAAGGTTTGGATGGTTTGGTTCTTAGCTGCTGAGAGGCCCGTGTTCAGGCCGTGCGTTCTGGTCACCAGTCAACAGTCAGACCGGTATATTGGCCGCTCCCAAAAGTCGTGCAAAAAAACACACCGGTCGTCCAAGGACTTCGGTCCAACGCTCCTCAAAGGCCAGGACTTCGGCCAAAAGCCGGAGCTCTTTGCCTCGCTCCGACGGGCGACGGTGGCGACCGAGGTCCCACGAACAGACTTCGTATGGGTGTGAAGCCGGCGCAACGCGGTGGGCTGCAATGTTGCCCTTCATGGACCCGTCCAAATATGTTCCATTGAATTAATACTATTAAAGATATTAAAGGTATACAAAAATCATCATAATAATTATACATGTTATTTTCCTCTGTGTTCTTCCAGTGTTCTTGAAGAAGTTGCCTGCGCAGCCTCTTCACGAAAAGGAATCCTCTTCACGACTGTGCGACGGATCCGGTTGACCGAGGGTCGGTTGGTTGGGTGACAAAAAAATATGTCAGTTTTTGCTTACTCAGTGGTGGCAGTCCCAGAGTTGAAGTGCCACTCCCATCCTCGCGACAAGCAAATTCGGGTCGTTTGGGTAGGTGGAAGGTCCAGGCTGGTCCAGCTTCTTGTTCCTGGTAGCGATGCCCTTGTTACTAGTAGCTTCTTGCTGCTAGTAGTAAGGCCAGGAGCTACTAGTAGCGTTCTTGCTCCTAGATAGGCTGGTCCTGTGAACACCTGAAGATCGGGACTTCTTGGGCCATGCGACTGGCGATGGCGGAGCGGAAGAAGAAGAGCGCTGGGGGGTCTGCCTGAGGCGATGGGAGATGCGTAACCCGCGTCGTCACGAGGGCGTTCATTCAGAGAGCCCGGTGGGACGGGGGGAAATCAATATGCAGAGACCATTTCACATCATTTCTGTAGGAAGCCAATTGCGGCAAACCTGGTGGTTTTGGGTTCGCAAACCTTGTGGGGCAAAAGCTGAACAAACTTGTGTGGACGAAGAAGAGGTGTTCTCAGTGTTGCTCAGTGTTGCTCCATCCTTCGAGATGGATGCTACTGTTGCTCCATCCTCCTTTCATCTTGCAGACCCAGGGAATGGGCCAATCGGTTCAAAGATGAAGAAGAAGATCTTAGGACATATTGACGAGCCCTGGAAGACATCTCTTTTTCATATCACCCAGGGGAAAGGGCACGAGATAGATAGATTGTTGTTTGTTTGCATGTTTTAGAACATGGTGGATAAATCATGATAAATCCCTATGAGACGATGATAGATCTGAATAAGTAATCCATCGTCTCACCGATCGCCCCACTGGCAGTCACTCAGGTCCTGGCCGTGGCATGAACCTGAGTAGGGAGACGCGGGTCTCAGCATTGCGGAGGACGTGAGGAAACGGATGTCTCAACCGGTTTCTGTTTTCGGCCCAATTTGGAGGATGAAACTGATGATCTACGTGAGTCTACACTCTTTTCCACGGATCTCTTGGGCATCTTCAGTTTTAGCACTTGGATGGTGCTTCAAATGAGCTTCAATTCAGATGTTTCATGGTGTCATCCCATGTAGAGGGATACTCGATACACCGATTATATATAATATGGTCTCTCACAACAAGCGTCCTTAGCACCACACCGGCGTTCACCTGCAGCAAACTCCCATGGTCCCTCACACACAGTAGAGCCGTCCTCATCTTCAGCGCCAGGTTGCTATGCAAAACTGCAGAGGGTTGCATCTGATTCAGCACCCGTCCCAAACAGCTCTTTGACCTGCCCAAGCTGTCGGGGGGTTCTTGACTGACGCAGGCGCCACACGGTTAATAGGGTGCTGAGGCCATGGCCACCAGGTGCCCTTCACTGCCACTGATGCGGCTTTGGACCTGAGCTACGGAGAATGGGTCCACGGGGTCTTGCTAAAATTAATGATTCATTTGTTTTAGAAGGATGGATGCCACACATGACTGATGCCATTCACGGGCAAAACCGTGATCCCAACCATGCCCTTCCTCATCGCCAGATCGCCAAAGGGTTTGTTTTTTGAAGAACGTTCTTGCATTCGGGGTTCCAATGGAAATCCAATGGGTTCTGCAAAAGCCTCGATTTCTGTGACTGTCACCATGTCCATACACTGTGACTAGATGTGGTGAGTGTGCCAGGCTCCCTTCTCGAGACCCCGGCGCGTTGCATCTGCAGCCGGGGTCCCAGAAAGCTGTGGCCATAGATCTCAGGCCTTGGAACTCCCAAACACGACCCAAACGGAATGACATCCATTGGATGAATTACAGTAAGCCCGTGATGGAAAACACAACCGTCACGAAAAACACACGAACTTCGCTAATAATGAATGAAGCAAAGTCACAAAACACACACACACACACACATCGGCTGATTCCCAAAGTACACTCCATGAAAAAACACCCTGTTCGTGCGGGAAAGCTTGATAAAACTGTGTCATGTCATCCAATGTCTTCCAACTTTTGTTCATGTTCCACTTCCGTAAAAATCCTGAGTCGGAGTGTACCTTTCGCCCTTTCCTTTCCGAGCGGTCGCCCGGCCACGACAGGGCGGAGCATTTGGTGTCGGAGTTCGATCGTCTGAGCTTGAGGCTTTCCTCCCAAGGGAGTGTGTACGAAAGAGAGCCTCACATGGATAGAGACTGCCTGGCGAGGAAAACATGTGACCGAGCAGAGTCTCATGGGATGTCTGCTGTGTTGTTTGGTTGGATTCAGTGATGCCCAGGTAGATGCCACAAATTCCAAGCCATGCACTTTCAAAATACATGGGTTTGTGCGACATGTCCAAAGAACAAACTGTGCCACGTCAAAGTACATTCTTTAGATCATGTTTGATGTAAACCTCCATCATAAAGTCTTCCTCTCCAGGCTTGGATTAACTCATACCTAGATCCTCTAACGGGCTTTAATATCTGCCTTTTGCTTAAAATCTGCCTTTCTACGAAAAAGGCAGAAAAAACGCCCTCGGGCGGATCTTCCAAATCAGGTGGTTTCAACGAGGAGCCGTAATTTGCAAACTGCAAAGCTCAAACAGGTCTACATATAAAAACAATAGAGAATTTCTGGGAAAATTGCCAAACGCCTCGGAGCCAAGGGTCTGCAATGGTCTGCATGGCCTTTTCTGGTCCCATTCTTCCGAGCATTTGGCTTCTTCCAGACAAAATCAACTTTTGCATGGTGTTTTCTCATTTAGGATCATCGTTCGCACCGTTTTCGACTTCCAGTCTTCTGGTCGTCCCACCTGAGAGAGGCCTGAGACGCCTGAAATGGTCGTCCCCAAAAATGCCCCCCAACCTCCCTTGCTTTTTGAGTTAACACAAATGAGCCTGAACCCATCCATTTGGAACGTCATCATGGTCGCATTGAAGTGTACCTAGCAATATATACCTACCCAAGGTTTGTACCGTCACAAGCCGTGCTTGTTCCTTTATTCATCCTGCAGTCCAACTGGCATGAAACCATCCAATCGTTCCGCAAAAGTCAGCAAGAGACGACAGTTTAAACATTAAGGAACATACACGCATCTACTAGTAGTAAGGCACTTGTTTACTAGTAGCAAACATTGTTACTACTAGTAAGGCACTTGTTTCTAGTAGCGTGGCACTTGTT